ACTCCCTCCCCCCCATTATGTGTGTCTGTCTGTGGGTGTCACCAGGTCCTAGGTCGCGTAATTCCTGTAGGGACATTGGAAAGTGGGCTCGAGTATTCGCCTCTATACACTGGCTCTGTGTGTGTATTGGTTGTGTGTGTGTTGGTCGTGTGCGGTTAGGTGTGTATGTTGGTGGTGTGTGTTGTGTGTGTCACATCGCATGGGTTTGGGAGTGTTGGTTAGGTGTGTGTACGTGTTGGCCGTGTGTGTGTTGGTGGGGTGGGTGTACGTGTGTTGGCAATGTGTGCTTGTTCTGTTGGTGTGTGGTGCGTGTTGGTTGGATATGTGTGTCGCGCGTCTGTGTGTTGCACGTGTTGGTTTCCTGTGCGTGTATGTGTTGGTGTGTGTTTGTTGCGGGTGTGTGTTGGTGTATACGTTGCTGTTGCGTGTGTGTTGTGTGTGTTTAGGAGCGCGCAGGCGCTCTCCACCAAGGAGAGACCTCAGTCCGGCGTCAGGCGCCGGGAGTTGGAAGGAACAGGGGCTGTGGCCGCGCGGGGCCGCGGGAGGGCGGCGTGGAGGGGGCAGGCCCGTGTGAAGGGAGGGTCTTCCGAGGCCTGGGGAGGCAACAGCGCGAGGGAAGACATTCCACAAGTCTGGGTGGGGGCTGCGGGGGATGAAGGAGGTCAGGTGCTTCCCGGGGTGCCAGGCGTCCAGCTCTGGGGACTGTCCGGGCCTCGCGGAGCGGAGAGCGGCCCGGCGGGCGGAGATGGAGTCGGGGAGGCCGCGCGGCCCTGGGGGCCCGGCCAGGTCGGCGCCAGCCGCCGAGTTGAAAGGCGGCCGCAGCCCTTCCTCGCCGCTTCCCACTGCGCCTCCGGGGCTCCGGGCGGGGCGCAGGGACTGCGGGCCACTAAGGGGGGGGGGGATGCGTTCGGGGCTGGCGCCAGCCTTGCGGCCGTAGAATTGGCACTCGCGGCCCCCGCCCTCAAGTAATTGTCTTCATTGGGACCTTCTTCGCGACCTGGGCCTTCAGCTGGGGGAGAGGGGAGGGCCGGCGAGCAGAGAAACGAACCCCCAAACCAGGCGCTCTTAGCTCGAGTTCGCCAGCGCCACCCCGACTGCCCCAATCCCACCGGCCAGCCGCAGATCTCAGGGCGTCCCAGGTCCTCTGCCGTTGGGTAACCCCATTCCTGCCTAGGCTTCCGCGCCACAGGCCGCGGGCCGCTTAGGTCTTGCCAGCGTGGGCGCAAGCTGAGTTTGCAGATTAAGGCTTCCGTCTGCTCCCCATCAAAACAAAAACTCCTTCACCGTCAGCTCGCAGGGCAGGTGAGACGCCCTGCTCGTTCCCCGAGGGCCGGCGCTGGTTCCTGGTTAGGGCACGAATGAGTTAAATTCAAAGCTGGGGCCCAGGGTCCCGGCGGCTCAGTTACCAGCGACACTAGCGCTCCGCTGGCCCTTTCCAGCCAGAAGAGCCCTTTCGTCACTAGGCGACCCACAAACGAGAGAACGCTCTGCAACGTGGGGAAAGCGGATCCCCGAGTAAGACTGATGTTCGAATCCCGACTCTGCCTCTTATTAGCCGTGTGATTTTGGGAAAACCACGGCACCTCTCTAGGCCTCTGTCCTCTCCCCGGTAAAACTATTCTGCATTGTGGAGAGGCGGGGAGAGGGCAGCGTGTGCAGTGACTGCCAGCACACAGTAGGCGCTGAATAAGAGCTGGACCTTGCCGAATCGCAACCACCTCCCAGAGCCATGGGCGGCCACTCCGCGTGATCAGTCCGACGTTTCTTGCCACAGAAAGAAATTGATCAGTAAAAATCCAGGCCCGGAACCTCCTGCCCACTCCCCCTCCGCTTGATAAACTAGGGACGGAGTTCCAAGAGCCGAGCAGGGCGCGAAGGAGTGCTCCAAGCCCAGCTAGAATTCACCACGGACCGGGCCGCATCGGGCTTAAGGTCTCACCCCACACCAGCGCGCCGTTCCGATAAAGCCGACATTTATTGAGCACCTTCTGTGTGCACGCCGGGTCTAGAGAAGGAATTCGAAAACCAAAAAGGGGGGAGGGAGGGACAAAGAAAAGGCCAGATGAAAAGAAACACACATGGGTAAAGCAGTGGAAGGAAACCGAGACGCAGGGCGTGTAGCCAGAGGTGGAGGCGGGCAGGGGTCCCAGGGGGGAGGGCCGGGTCCACCCGGGCTGAGAAGTGGGGAGGTGGGTGGGCCTCGCCTGCAGCTACCGCCTCGCTGGAGCCGCAGCGCGTCTACAGCGCGCGAGCCGTTGCTCATTACCGCAATTATGTTGCTCTAAGTTTGCCTAGACTTTAAATTGCCAAGTGCCCAGGAGCCAGGAGGCTCGGGAACCGTGGCGGACGGAGACATCTGATCCCACCCGGCCATTCTGCTACCCGAGATGCGCGAAAACCGCTCCAGCGTTGTGGACGCACCGCGAGCTGAGAAAACTCTGTTCCACCGCTATTCTCCCGGCGTCCTCCCACGCAGGGACTCGTTTACGAGTTCTCAAAATCCTGGGAGAAGAATACCAGGCCCATTTCGCAGATGAGAAAACTGAGGTGTGGAGCGATGACATGATCTTCCCTACCCAAGGTCAGACAGTCAGTAAGTGGCAGAGGGCTGGGATAGAACCAAGTCAGACATGGCTTGTCTGACTTCAAGTTCAATACTATCCCCCATGACAGGAGAGTTTCCAGTGGTGTTACTGAAAGGAACCTGGAGGATCTGTGAGAGCCAGAGCATCCTGCACACCGTCACTCGCTGGCGCTTAATTTACAGAGAAGGGAAAACACTCTGAGTCTGCAAGAAGCAGCAATGCACTCCAACCCCTTTAAAGGGCGCGTAGGAGTGCGAGTCTGAGACCTTTTTAGGTGTAAACTCCCCTCTCTGGGGACTCAGAGGCCCAGACTAGGGCTCCCGAAGCCCCGAGGCCGAGGGCCACCGCCTGGAGGCGGCTCCAGAGGGTCCCGTGCGGAGAAACTGCAGTCCCCGCAAGCTTTTCTTTCTTCTCTTTCGAAGGGAGCTTGTGACAAGTTCAGACTGCAGTCCCAGCCTGGGGAGATGGAGCCATTGCCCGAGCTGCCTAGCCTATAAGAACCGAGGCTCAAGGTATCCGGGAACCTGCCAGGCGCCAAAGCAAAATCCGCCCAGGATTCACGCCTTGCTAGTCTATGCTGGAATCCCGAGGCTGGTCCCGACTCGTGGGGCTAGAAACGCCGCCAAGTGCGCTCCCGAGAGCGTCCCAGACTCGGTTTCCTCACTGCGACGCGGCCTCTAACTTTGGAAACGTCGACCCCTCTCCACGTCCAACACCAAGTACACTTCGAATTCTAGCAACCCTTGGTTCTGGCTTCCCCGCTTTGAGCTGCTCCGCCTGGGCGGTCCTGCGTGGACTTGGGAGGCGCGGGCCACGGAGGGACAGAAGCTGGCGACCGGGCTGGCAGACCCAGTGCTGATCCGCTCCTAACAGGAAAGAGAACACAGCGGTGCCTGGCACGTCGCAGTAGCCTTTCCTAAGAGGTCATTTTCTGTCTTCAACATCCTTGCAGACTCCCCCCTCCCCCCAAAAAAGTCTAAATTTAGAGCTTCTCCCAATACATCCTCCTAGAAACCTTAACTTAATCTACTACGTTGAAGAAAAATCACACTTTTGAACCAGTGCAAGGAGTGACGGTTGCCCAGGGGTTTCTGTAAAATTGCTTTTGTTGTTGTAGTTGTTTCGAGAAGTTCCACTAAATGGTGCGAAAACACTCACAGCCTAACAGCTCAAAATTAGTTCCACAAACCTCGTCTATACAGCCGCAGTGATTTAAAGAAGCAAAGAAATCGTCTCCATCCCCCACCTGGCCTCTGGTGGGAAAAACAGGTTTGAGGGGGTGGGAATTGTCTCCATTAGCTGTCCACAGTCATTAAACCATTTGGGCGATTTGCTTTGTTTTCAGAGACAGGTTAAAAGGGGAGAAAAAAAGCAAGAGTCGGTTATGGGTCGCCTGAGCAAGTGTCGATTTCAGCTTAAAGTGAATTGGAAAATTGAGCCTAATTATCCTGGGTAATTGCTTCAATTCTCCCCTTGACTTTGCTAACATAGATCTGTCCTGTGTGTTCCAAAAGACACTCCCACCTTCTGCCCCTGCATGTCCTGTTGTCACCTTTGAAAGATGCTGGAGTAAAACTACCCAATACTGAAAAGCAGTTGTATTTGGGAAGAGATGGCAAGAAATGAAATAAAAATGAAAACCGAATTCAGTAAAGAGATTGTTTCTGGTAGCTTAAAATTAATTTATTTAACAAATATAGCTATAATATAAATGATAATAAAATTTCAAATATACAGTATATTACATAGTACACAGTCCCTTCCAAAGGGATTCTTCAGAGTCACGCAAATGTACTGTTAAATAGAAACAGACTTTTTTTATTTTACTTTTTTTTTTCTCCTACTGGTGACAGAAGGTCCCCTTCAACCTACCTTTGTAATGCATCAGTGTGTCCCTCCCCCCCAAAGCAAATGTTTTGCTGTTGAAGTTCTCTTAAGTTTTCCACCGAAAGGAGCTGAGAGCCATCTCCCCTAGCACACTCTTCTCTCTGTCCTCATTTCCAACCTCCTCGAACATGAATTACGCTGCCGCTTGTCCTGCCTTGTGCCAGGTTAGGGACAGAGCTGCAGGAGACATAGCCTCTAGTCCTGGTTCAACCACTGATTCTGCTGGGAACCTTGGATCAACCTCTTGACCTCGCTGGCCTCAGTTTCCCCATCTGTAACAGGAAGGTGGAGATCTAAATTCTAGAAGGGGGCCAAGGGCCCTTCCAGTCATTTCGGGGGGAGAGAATCTGACCTCGGAGATAGAAACATGGGGAGCAACCGAGGAGAAACCGGAACAGCGTGGGGTTAGAGGGAAAGGCCAGGAGGTGCCAAATAGGGGAGCGCGCTGCGGGGCGGCTCCTGCCGCTTGCAGAAGGCCCGGGTGGGAGGAACCGGCTGGCACGGCAGGTGGGCTTCTGCTGAGGCCGTCTATGTCAGGTGGTACATACTGTAGCCTACATGGGCCGTGTAGAGTCCCACGGGAGCCACGGGCAGGGCGGCGCGCTGGAAGGGGCCCGAGGCACCGTAGAGCGAGGCGCCGGCCGCCGCTGCCACGGCTGCCGGGCCGGCGAGCGGGAAGGAGAGGCCGAAGGCAGCCGGCGGCAGCATGGGCTTGGCGGCCATCTTCAGCTTTTCCAGTTCGGCCTCCTGCAGTCTCTTGGCCTTGGCGCGGCGATTCTGGAACCAGATCTTCACCTGCGTCTCGGTGAGGCTGAGTGAGCTGGAGAACTCGGCGCGCTCGGCGATGGACAGGTACTGCTTCTGGCGGAACTTGCGCTCGAGGGCCAGCAGCTGCGCGGTGGTGAAGGGCGTCCGCGGCTTGCGGTTGGTCTTGTGCTTGCGCAAGGTGCAGGCCGGGGGACTCAGCCGCCCTAGGAGTTCGGAAGAGCAGAGGCAAGGGTTAAGAGAGCGGCGCTGGAGCGTGACTGACCCGTAAAGTAGTAACAGTCAATAAGAATACTAGCTACCATTTCCCCAGCGCCTAGGTGCCAGGCACTGTGCGAGGCACTTAGAAAATAGTATCTCCAACTCCCACCACAACGCTGCAGGGTAGAAGTTCGTGTCTAGCTTTTGCAAATGAAGAAAGTGAGGTTCCAGGTGAAAGGAGACCGGTGTTCAAGTCTAGATAGCCGTCTAGGACGGCCTTTCCCTGCCGGCCGGACCTCCTCCCACCGCCAAGCACAGAGTAAGGTGGACATTAACAAGGACAAGGGAACGTGCTAGAGAGACCCAGTGCCCAGCGCAAGGCCGCATTTATTTTTATGCGTTTGTCAAACATTCATCGGTGCCCACCAAGTGCTCAGAGTTGGGCTTGGCCCCTGCGGTGGCAGAGAATCCAGAGCTACCGACTCCAAATTCCCCACGTCCCTACGGAGTTCTAGGTGCAGTCCTTGCTCGCCGGAAGCGGCGCAACACCCCGTCACGGAGGTCGCACCATAGCCGAGTCTCTTAGATACGTAAAGTGTTCTTTGGAGCTCCGGGGGAAGGGGGAGGCCCTTCATTTTAACCGGGCTTCTTCCCCTGATTGTCCCGATTGTGGCCTGGGCCTCTCCCAGCCCTGGCGCCTTGGCCTTCTGACCACGCTGAAGTGGAATCGGGGAAGTGCAATGGCTTCTCCTGGGCCTGCGGCTTAGCCGCGGAGACCAACCGTGCCCAGATGTCTTTTTCTCTTGATTTCAAAATCACCCTCGGGGGCGGGCTGTGATCGAGGCGGACTAGCCCGCTGAGCGCTTCACCCCAGCCATACCAGGGGGCTGCGGCAGACAGAACGTGGAATAAATTAGTCCTAGGCCAACGCGGGTCGCGCTGACTTTGGGATCCCAGCAGAGGCCCTCCCCGAATTCCCAAGTTCTGGAAAGGACGCTTTGCTTACGCAGCAGCGGCCCTTGGAGAAAGTGAATTCAAATCAAGGCTGTTTCACCAGGCGGGTTTTTGCCTAACTCTGCATTTTTTTTTTCCTTCGCGCTTAAAAAAGAAAAGAAAGAAAAAAAAAAAGGTCTTCTGGGCTCCCAGACCACCAGGATGTGAGTCAAACGAAATCTCGTGTTCACATCCCCCTTTTTCCCCGCTCGAGGCCAGTGCGAGTCTGGGAAGCACTTGGCCCCCGACTCGCTTTCCGCCCGGCAGCCCAAGGGGCGGGCTCGGAGGACAAACGTCACTCCCCTAGGCAGCGACAGCCCAGCGCTGGGCCACCTTCTCCAGCCATTAGGCCCAGGGAGGGGCTGGCCTTTCAAAGACGTTTAATCCCCAGATAAAAATCATTCCTCAGCACCACGCCATTGAATTCGGGCTGCTATTATGCCGCAAAAATAATCGGAGGAAACGAGGAAAACTTGGGAATTTCCCGTGCTCCTGAAATATCTCCGAGCAAGTTCGCTGGGCAGAGGAGCGGGGGCCGCGAGGCCTCGGGACGACCCCCAGACACGCCTTTGGCGGCTGGAGTCTGCTCTCAAGTCCCGGTCCGAGGCGTTTGGGAAGCTCCAGGCTGGATTGGAGGGGGTGCACCCCCGAACTGACTTGGTGTTCCCCCACTGGAACCTAAGGGTCCCCCAATTCATCCATTCATCCCCAGTACCAAGTATCTGCCGACACTTGGAGGGGTGATGGGCGGGGGGTGTTGAAAAAGCTTAGGGACGTCTTAGCAAAGAAATATTTTACAAGGGGTGGGGTGGGGGTGGGGTGGCGGTGGGGGGTGGGGGTTGGCGTCAGGCTTCTAGAAATCGAAACTCCGCGCGCACGGCAGCCGTCCGCGTCCCTCCACCCACCGGTTTGGGTAAAGGCGAAGTTACAGGGTTTGGGGTCAGAAGGGGGAGCGGGGATTCCCAAGTCGTTTGGTGGGGGTTAACAGGAACCAGTGCCCAGACACCCGGGTCCTACCGTCAACTCCCCACCCGCAGCCTCGCCCGGCCAAGGGCTCGCCAAGGCAGACCACTAGCTTGGCCTCCTCCAGGCCTCGGCCCCCCATCCTGGGTGGGAGTGGAGAGAAGTGCAAACCGGCCTCCCGCCCAAGGCTCCGCCGCTGGGCTCCAGGTACCACTGCAGGTACGCAGACGCCGGCGACTAGCAGGCGCCGACGCGGCCTGGCGCCTCGGGGCCCTGAACCCGCGCGACGCCCTCCTGCCGCCTAGGTCTGGCTACTCACTGGCCGGGGGCGGGGAGAAGCGGGGACTCTGCATCCACGGGGTCCTCTCGGGCTTCTCTGGGCTCTCGGCTTTGACCAGCGCCTCTTCGGGCAGCTGGAGGAGTCCTCCCACCGAGAAGGGGCCGAGCGGCCGCGGCGAGGCGGGCGCGTCCGGGGCCCCCAGGGACCCCGGGCGGGCGCCCAGGGGCTGCGCCGAGCCGCTCGCCGCCGGGGCGCCCTCGGGGGCGACCAGGGCGCTCTCCTTGGCCCCGGGCTTCCTGTGGTCAGCCATGAGCGCCTCCACGCTGAAGGGCAGCAGCGAAGGGGCCGCTTTGGGCTTGGCCCCCTCCTCATCCGCGCCCATGGCGGCACTGGGAGCCGGACCCCCGCCTGCCCCCGCCGGCGGGCCGAAGGCGGAGTCCTCCACTTTGACACCGAGTGGCAAAGAAGTCATGTCAGCAGCCGGGGCCATGCAGAGCTGGGCCCCCCCTGCAGCCGCAGCACTGGCCAGCCGCCGGTCATGGGCTTCGGGCAGGCTGCGAGTGGGGCCGGCTTCCGCGAGCCGGGGCCGCGGCCGGGCGGGCCCTCCCGCGCGCGCCTCCCTCCTCTCCCCCGAAGGCCAGCTCGCGCCGCTGGGCCTGCCTCCGCCGCCGCCGCGCACGCAGAGCTCCCGGGCTCACTCGCGGGCTCCGGGTCCAGCCGCCGCTCCCCAGAGAACTTGCTAATAAGGCGAAGCCGGAGCGGCGGCGGCCAATCAGCGCGCGAGGGGGCGGACCCGGCGCCAGCCATTGGGCCGGGCTCTTGGGACTGGACAGGAGGAGCGCCCCGCCCGGGGACGCGCAGGGCTGGGCCGGGCCAGGGGAGACACGAGGAGGGGAGGGGGCGCCCGGGAAAGTTTCCCAGCTCAAGTCTAGGCCGCCTCTCTCCATCTGGAACCCACGGGTCTCTGTTTTCCTGTGTTCCTGGGGCTGGGAGAGGTGCTTCTTCCTAGTTCTCCTTCCTTCTCTTTCTCCCCCCCTTCTCTTATGGCCCCTCTTTTCCTCCCTTCTCCCTTTTTCTTCCCCTTTTCCTTTTTTTCTCCCCTCTACCGCTTCCACTAGCGGCTCCGCGGGAGAAAAGACTTGGCAATCTGCCTCGTAAAGTTTTGAGCCTAGGAAACCCTGTGGGGGGCAGTTACTCTGTCCTGTAGGGTCGCTGTGAGTCGGAATGCACCCGACGCGTGCACCACAACGGCTTCTCTCGCCTTCCTCTTGCATCTGTTGTTATGTCTGTCTCTGCGCCCCTCTCCACTTTCTGCCTTCCTTTTTCTTGACGGCAGTAATTTGAGTTGAGGTCATTTCTTGCCTGTCCCTTCTAGAGTTTAAAACCCCGCATGATCATTTATTTATCCAAGTGAAAGACATACGTTCACTTCTTTTTTAAACACCTACCTTTTCTTCCTCTGTTTCAATCTTCAAAACTTTACCTCCGGGTAGAAGCAGGACTTTGTCTCTCCTGGAAAGCTTGAAGTTGGCCGAAAGGAGCCTGCCTGCCCGTGGTGCCATGGATGTAACAAGACTTCATATTACCCGGGCGCTAGCAGCGGTTTTCACCCGAGCTGTGTTCTTTCTCTCCGGAGGGTTACAGCACCTAGATCGTGACCAGCAGGGTGGGGGTGGGGTGGGGAAGGAGCCGTCGGCTCCCTTTTGATATAGAACTTACTGAAATAAAACCAACAGAAACGCCAACAAAACACTGATCTGGCCTTAACGTGACCTCAAGCAGCACGTCCTCGGAAACAATAACACGTCCCTATCTCTGGGGCGCTGATCTTGGGGTGGCGCGAGGCCCATTTGGGGGAGGGGACCAGCGGAGAGAGGAAGGTTTTTGGCGGTGGATTGTCGTGCTGAGCTTGAGAACTTTTATATTGCCAGTTTCGGAGGAAACGTGATTTCATTTTTGCTGTTAAGAAAAATACAGGAAAAATGAGCTAGGGGTAGGGAGGCAGCCGTGGGATCTAGGCAAACGCGGGTCGGGGCTCGGCCGTTCTCTGTGCCGCCTCTTTATGGCCTCTTATCCCCGGGTCCAGGCTGGCGGCTCCTGGAGAGCGAGCGCCGGTGATTGGCGGCTCACCAGGCCCGGCCATTGATGGCTGCGGGGTTCTAATCTCCAGGAAACACAAGGGGCTGCCGTGGCCATTTAGGGGTAATTATCCGAGAGCGGAGGGACAGTGAATTCCCTCGCCTTTTAACTGGGCGCAATAAAAACTGTAGGTTAGGGGCGTCCAAATTACGGAAAATGAATTACTAGAGCCGGAGCTTGAGCTTTATTACCCGGACGGCGTCCGGGGTCTGGCGGGAGGAGTCGGGCTGCGGCCGCCACAGCGATCTGCAGCCTTATATCTGTCCGCAGGCCCGAGACGGGTTAAACCGTTGGACCGGAATCTGTGAAATGTACACGGCGTGTACAGGTTTCTTATGGGCCCAGGACTTCGGGCAAGGCTTGGAGTCTAACTCATGTCGGCCCCAGCCTGGGAGTTACGGACGAATAGAGAGCCCTTCTTTGAGGCCCCCACAGGTCTGCTCGAGGGTACGTGGCTGGAAGGTGGTATAACCCCATTTTAGAGCTGAGCGATCTGAGGCTCTGCCTGGCTGTAGGCCCAGCGCCTCTTTAGTGGCTCAGTCAGGAATCTTACTCTGCGCTCGGGTTAAAGGGGAGAGAAAGCAGAGACCCATCTGCTTTTAGGTCCACATTAAAGACCGAGTTGTGTGTGTGTGTGGGAAGGAGCTGGCTTTGCCCCGCAGACAATGCTGGCGTCTCTCGGATCTCGAAAGCAGCGGGTTCCAAAATGTTTGGCCGCCAGATCACTTTGAAGATCTAATCTAGCTAGTAACTTTCTCCCTAGAAAAATGCACATAGCAAAAACCCATTCATACACAACTGCGCGGACAGCTTCTGGGCTCTGTAGATCCAGTTAAGAACGCTCCCTGCTTTGGGGTGGGGCTGGGTCTCGAACCCCGACAGAAGCTCGCGGCAGAGAGAGGGCTCGTGCGGAGCCGAGGGCAGCCCTGGGCGATCAGCGCAGCTAGGCCCGGCCGCAGGCCGAGGGGCTGGGCGGCCGGAGAAGGGACGCAGCGCTAATTGCAGGGATAAACAATCTGTCACGATTCCTCAGCACGCCTAATAGGCAGACGAGGATGTTGTTTTTAGGCGCCAGCGGCGGTCCGATCAAAGGCTGCGGCAGGCTCAGGGGCCCTTGAAGTCGCGCCCCCGCCTCCAGGGAGCCTACCGCCTGCGCCTGCTGCCGTGGGCCCTGCTGCCCGCCCTTCAGCTGCCCGAGCGGGTTCCGAACCTCACGACATCTTGCTTTTCGGGTTCGGTCTGGGTTCGTGGCTGCTTTGGCCCAGCGCAGCGGGTTAGCCGCGGGGATGCATCGCAAGGCGAGAAGAGTTAGCCTGCCCGAGAGAAAGGGTTCAGACTCAGTTCCACTTGGAATTCTTGTTCTGAATAGCGCGGGGTTCTTGCGCCGTTCTGCCGCTGGCCTGCGGGGCAAAGGTGCTCGCGGGCTCCAAGGGAGTTGCAGAAAAGAAATAAAATGTCTATCTTCGGGGGCATGATGTTCCCGCGGAAGGAGAGGCACAAGGTTTTAGCGAAAGGAGAGCGGGCGGTCTCTGCGTTTATTTTTGTCTGGGCCTTTTCGGATTTCCCGGTTCGTGGGTTCCGCGAGGTGACAGGCGCGAAGACTGAGCCTGTTATCTCGCCGCCAGCCCTAACCCGAAGGCTCTTCTGTACCCGGCATTTCTGCGCTCGGCCGCTGCAGCCCAGAAAGCCGGTTGTAATTCATCGCCTGGCAAGGACAGGGCTGGCCCGCAGCAGATAAAGCTCCGGGGCTGGCTCTGCTACTTCCCTCCTCTCCCAATCCCCTCCCCCGCTCCATCGCCCTCATTCCGGGGCATCCTAACACCCCCTCCCCTCAACAAAGCGCCTTTGCATTTCGGATCCTAAATACAGATTGTCCTGCGTCCACTCTCTGATGCCTAAACTCGTGTCGGCTTTATTTCTTCCTAATGCCTACTTTGCAGGGGTATGAGGCGGCGGGGAAGGATGGTGTTGTTGCTAGATTTTTTTTTGCGCTAGGCGAAGATTAATTTTAAAGGGACTGCCGTCTTAAAAACTGTCACTATCTAGCTAGGCATTGCTGCTTTGATTGGAAAGCTGCAGGCTGGCCCGTCACTTTGGTGTTCGTTGTTGCCTCGGTCAGGGTTTTGTTTACGCCCCCTCCCCCCTTTCCCAATGTATTTTGTGGCCTCGACCCAGGAATCCCGCGTGCATTTTTTAAAATGTGCAACTCAGTGGGATCCCCCGGCAATTAGCGAGCCCCAAACAGCCCTCTTTAACAGAATGAATGTGCTATGAAAACCGATTACCCGGAACGATTTATTTTGGTGGGAATTCACCAATCGCCAGGAGGGCAGCGGAGTGGGGGAGAGAGGAGGTATTTTGTCCTGGGGCTGGGTGGGGAGACGGATAGACAGCACCGCCGCGGGATCCCCCAATCTGCCAAGGGGGCCTTCTGACCCCGCGTTCTCTAGCCTTTTGGTCTCTGTCGCCTAGAAGTGAGGAGCTTGGTGGCAGTCACCGATGGAATCCTCTGGGACTAGGATGGGGGGGGTGGGTGGGAGAACGGGCAGACTTCACAGCTTTCCAACAGAAAAAGTCAGCAGAACTGGGAACACTGGGGAGTCTTCTACTCCTGGCTGCGTCCACAGCAGATTGGGAGCAAACTACTTTCTGCTTTTCGGAGAACTGGGCAGAACTTGTGCCTTTTAAAAGTTTTGGTACCCTTCTTTAACGTGAAGTTAAAAAAAAAAAAAAACTATTTAAAAACAGTGCTTTCTCCTTTCTAATTCCTGGGCTTAAGTGGGCTCAACCCATGCGGCGAAACTGGTCAAAGGCGGTGGGGTTTTCCCCCGGCGCCAAGGAGAAACTGACAAGCCGGACTCCCGGCTTCTCTCCCCCAACCACTTCCAGCCCTTCCCCCACTTGCTTCTTTCCTCGCTCGCTCCGGCCCCAGCTTCCTTGTGTCTTTAAATTCGGAAGGGGGTGAGGGGGGCCGGGATCCGCGGGGGAGAGACAGCCCCCCCTCACTTTTCAAATGGCCCAAATTAATGTGATCACGACAAGAGGGTGCACTTGGGGAAGATGAAAGCGGAGGCCGGCCGACTCCTCCTAGAGCTCTATAATTATAGATAATATATCCCATTTCAAAGCAATTAGACCAATCAGGCGTAACGAACCACTTTGCTGCCGACGAATAACAAAGGCGCACGGTTATTTAAGCCCGGAGACGCAAGGCAGACCCCGAGGCTCCAGGGGCCGGCCAAACGTCTTCCATCCAGGCTCTGCCCACCCCGGACCCGGGAAGGCTCACCCTTCGCCCCCAGGCTCTGCCCAGCTCTCTGAGGGCCCCATCTCAGTTCCTGCGTGGGCCTC